ATAAAGAAATAGAGGTATGTAAAAACCTAAAGAGATGATAGCAAGTAAAAAAAAGGTTAAGGCTGCATAAATCTACCAAACTAATTTAATTTTTTTGTTTTTTTCTTCATCATATCCCTTATTATTTGAGGTGTAGACAATCTAACGACTAATTGAATCTGATAATTATGTAATCAACATTTATATGTTATTAAATAGGAACAATGTTGAATAAATCTAATTTCTCCATTAAATAATACTTATCAAAATTGTCAAATATATTAATATCCCAATAAGGTTACAAATAATAGAAAGTATCAATAATAATTATGACATTTAATCTAATTCATCAATTCTTTCTATTACATCTCTAGTAGTTTTACTTTTTAAGTTCCATAATTATTATGCAATTTCTGGATAATTATCAAATAAAAACTAACTATCATCTCCAAATAATGGAATACTTTTAGCTTCTTAAATTGTTCTTAACTTTTCTACCATATAATTTTTGAAGAAATATTTTTTATAATAAATAATAGGTATTCCATTTTCTTAGACTTTTATTGTTTCTTCATCAAGTTCTTATAAAAATGTATGATAATCAAGTTAAATATCATTAACATAAATACTTAAATTTTAGTATTATTCAGCTCCTAAAACCTTAAAATTATATGCAATTTCATAATCTTCATTGTGCCAATCCTCTAGTTAAATCCCTAATAATACTAAATTGATATCTTAAAATAATATAAGAGGATAAGTTTAATTATTTGAATCCATTTATATTCCAGCTATATTGATTATACTATTAATAACAAATCCAAGTATAAATCCAACATTTATTAATACTAAAAAACATGATACTATTTTGAGAGATAATAATGAACTTAATGAAGATATTTAAAATTAATGAACAAAATTTCTAATAAGTTATTTTTAACTTTATACATTACCATTTCCATGCCAAGTACTAGCTTTATGTTTATTTTTCATTTAATTTTTCATTTCTAATAATTCTTTACGTGTTTATCTAGTTTTCACAGTAGCTAAAATAATTTATAATTATTCTTCTATATTTTGATCTTCTGCAGCATTCAACTCAATTTCTATAAGTTAATTAGTATTCTTTTTTTATTTACTATATGTATCCAATTCTGATTTTGAACCCTCTAAAGTGTCAAATTTTTATTATTATTCAAATGATTTATCCTTACTTAAAGTATTATGATAATCTCTATATTATTCAAATGTAAGTAATAATTTCTCATTTTAAGTTCTAATTGAATCTAAAGATGGAATAAATTCAGGAAGAATATTTTAATTTTTAGTTTAAACTTAAATTTCTCTTTCTGAATCATCTTCATAAATTAAATTATACTCTCCTTCAGTAAATTCTAAAGTATGAGTTTAATGAAATTTAAAAGTCTTTTTAAATGTTTATATTTTACGAACAGATTCTGCAGAAGCCATATATTGAGATTTATTAACTTATTTTAAAATCATAATTTATCTTATCATAATGTCTAAAGCAATTATTTTAAAATCCAATTCTTTTAATTAATAAAACGAATTAACTTTTAAACATTAAATAGTAACTGAAGTATACATTTTTTTTTAATGTGTTGCATTAACTAAAAATATGTAACATTCATCTGGAGATCCTATAAAGTATCTCATATATCCCAAAATATCAGATCTATAATGTCTTTTAGGTATTAATAAGAATCCATCAAACTCCTACTCTACCTTATCTTCTAATAAACAAGGTGAAAGGTAACAGTAATTCAAAGAATTAATATCAACATCATCTAATTTTAATAGAATTCCAGCTGATCTAGAATATGAATCAAGCTTTCCTTTATCATTTGCTAGTAATAAAATACTATCCTTGTCTCTTAATTGTATAAAACCTATAAACCTTAGAAATTATAATTCTCTATAATCAAATCTTAATAATGCATCAACTTCTAATATATATTTTTCTGATTTTACCAATAAAGTATATTAATCCTTATTAACTAATTTCGTTTAACCAGTGTTAATCATTTAAGAAATAGCAATTCTATGATATTATTACAAAATGACAGGAACGATTTATTCTATAGCACTTCCCTTTATTTATGAACTTACATTAATCATGGAAATGAAATTATTAGAATAATCCTTTATTACAAGGTCTCCTTCATAATCACAAATTACAAAGGCAGTTTAATTTTGGTTAATAAAAGGAATAGTTGTTTTTTTACGAATATTCTTGAAACCATAGTCTACCTTTATTTAAGAGTAAAAATCATCCTATAATTCTCTAACTTCAAGTGATACTCCATTAATTTAAATAAGTTATTTTAATTATAATTCAAGTTCATCACATTAATTGAAATATTTTTAAGTAGAATAATGTAATAGATATGGTACTGGATTTTAATAATTTCTTTTCAAAAGTTCTAAAATAAATATTTTACCTTCAATTACTTTATAAATTTTTGTTTGAATATTTTCTAATAATTTAAAATATTATAAAGACAAAGAAAGATCAAAATTCAAATTAATAATTCCCCCTATGTAGTTTTGTAATTTTTAAGTAACTAAAGTACATGTTGCCCATCTCTCTAAATATTGGGGATGATATTTATGATAATATATCTTTAAATATTAAAATCTTAATTTTGCTTAAAATAATCTTTGTTAAAAGTTTTAACTTTCATATAAACTTAATTTTAATATTAAAGTTTCCCCTATAGCAGTATATCTTACATGTTTGATATAATTATCAAGGAATAACAACATCAATTCCTTAAAACTCATTTAAATATCTTATTCTGCTACTGCATAATTTATTTATTGTTAAATCTCTTTAATGTCTAGTTATAATTGTGTTGTTATTTTAACACTTTCATGAAAATTTCTATTTTAACAAAAACACTTCAGATTTTAACACATATTCATATGATTACAAAATATACTCAATATTAAAACCCTATTAAATGGTTTCTTGTAATCTATAATTTCAAAATAATACTCTATATAACATTCTATCAGATTGCCAATCTCTCTAAATTTATCAAGACATATAAATTAGAAAAACATATTAGTTCTGTATATTAAATTCATAAATCTATTGTCCCAAAGGATGAAATGAATTTATATCATAAATGGAAGTGAAAATAAAGATAAATATAATATTTCATCACCTTAATAATAAAATAGAAATAACACTATTGGAAATCTCATAAAAGAACAAAACACAACCAATTTCTATGTTTTCATATTTAAATATTGCATATGAGGTTTAACATAGTACAATATTCCAAAATAAAGGTCAAAAATCAACTATATTCCTAAATATAGATATGATAGGTATAAACTATTTATTTGAAAACCTGCAAATAATGCTAATACTGAATAACAAAATGGAATTAAACTCCTTTCAAAATAAGATTTAATTAATTTTTGGGTTGTATTTTATGAAAATGTATACAAGCTGGTTAATTGAGAATTTACAATTGCTATTATGATATTTATTATTCCCAATATTAAGTTAGTATTATCAGTTAGTAAAAAATGCCCACTATTTTAAATAATTACCAATTGCCATATATTCGGATAAGCATCCCAAAGTAAATCAAGAATCTTCTTTGAATATTTTTAGTTTCCTCCAAACAATACGGTTAAAAGAAAGGTTAATGAAAAAATTATTGTTATGCTTTAAATGATAACTTACTCAATATTGAATAGTATTGAAATAGTTGGTAAACTGAAATAATAAAATATTTTAAAATGCAGGTCTTCTCTTTATTCTCCTAAAATTTATATAGCAATAAATATCCATATAAGAGTATAAAAAAATTATCCCAAAATAATAAGGTGTTAATAGAGAGTATTACGAATTTTCTAATTTTGCTTTATTATTTGATCTTAGAATTTATTCATTTATTAAATATTTTATCTAGTATTTGTTTATGTGAAGATCATATTTTTTTGATTAAATATCAATTAAAAAGGTCAAGTGTTTATTAAATTTGAAAAAAAATTGAAGTTGATAAATTTTGTTCAAATTTTGAATAAACTCTAATTATAAATGTATATAATATAATAATAAAAGATAATATTTCATCTAGTTATAATATTAAGGGTTTGCATTTAATTTCATAAGTTACAAAATAGATAGATTCAATTTGGATATAACAACACTATAATTTAATAAATTAAGTGAAATTTATATAGATTTTTTAGCAATACATTTGCAAATTAGTATAAGACTCAGAAATTAATAAATTAATATCAGCTTAAATTAAATTAAAATATTATACTATTATACTATTATACAAATATATATAAAATAATCAAGGAATTTTCAAATAATCTTCACAAAATATTACATTAATGATTATTGTTAATCAGTTAATAATCTTAAACATTTTCTTTTACATTCATTTTATTCATTACATTGTTTATCACAAATTTTAAATTCTTTTGTTAAATTATTTTATTCAGTCTTATATTTTAAGTATTCATTAGTGCAAGAATTGTAATATTCTAAATCTGTATTTGATTTCATTTACAATTCACAAATAGAGATAGCTCTTAAAAAGAGATCAGATTAATTAAATTCCATTAATTAATTTATAATGTTTGTAATTAAAATTATTGTATGTAATCTCAAGCAATATAATTTAAATTATAATCATAAAATTCATTACCATAAATTTCATAAAATAAAGTATTATAAATCTAATATAATAGATTATATATATATATATACATATGACTTCAAATAATGGCTAATCTTTAAATTTATTATTGAAGTAAATTTAGATATAATTAAATTTAGATTTTCTTTGATATATTAATTTATTAATAAAAATTCATGTTTTTAAAAGATAAATTCAATCTAAAAATTTATTTATATTAAATATAATTATCTAGATGATTTAAATTTACAAGGATATTGAAAAAATGAATATAATTCGAGAGTAAAATTTCTTACAATATATACTGAAGATCCATATTATATATTCAGTTCAATCAGTTTAAGTGCCTTATTATCCTTCTTCTTCTTCTTATTAATTTTTCTATGGTTCTTCCTACTGTTCCTTTTGTTCTTCTTATGTTTTTTCCTATATTGATTATAAATATAATCATACATGATTTCCTTATTCACAAATTATTGATTAGCCACCTAAATATGTTTTATCAAATTCTTCAGGAGCTAATCTAGTTGCTGCCATTAATTTCTATTTAACATCTTATTCTCTTTGTTGTGTAGCTTGTAAATTTTTTAATAAATTAATTTCTTATGCTTCTAATTATTTAATTTAGTATTCATATCTTTCATTTTCAATAAGAATCTTTTATTTTTCAAGTTCTTATAAAGATCTAACTTTTTATTATTTCTCAAACAATTTCTCTAGAATCTTAACTTAAGAAAACTTCTCATCTTCTTTAATCAAAGCAGCTCTTAATTTTAGATTTTAAGCTTTTTTATTTTAATCCTCACTAGTTCTCATTAATTCATATTTAAGTGATTTTTTCATCAATTAAGCATCATTATGTTTCATCTCCTTTACATCTTATTTCATTTTCATAAGATTCATTCTATCATATTATGTTTATTAATATCTTAATGGATCTACAGTAGATTATTATTACATTTTCTACTCTTTCTAAACAATTTTATAAGAAATAAACAATTACTTTAATCTTCTAAGCAAGACGAGAAGCATAAACATCTAAAGCCAATTACTCTGCCATTTAAACTTTTTTGGACAGTTTCTAATTCTCTTTAGTAATTTATTTGATTCTGTTTTCAACATTTTACTATTCCAATTCAAGATGCTTTTAACGTCTCTTGGCTTCATTTAAACTTAAATCTTCTTGAGATTTCATTTATATTGATGAACTTGGATTTAATTTAGGTAGCATTATCTAATAATTTATATAATATATATATATATAATTCAGGCAAAGTTTTCTCTTAATGCTTATGATTATGCAATAACTTTTCTTATTCTTTCCTCAATTGATTCAGTTTAAAATTAAGGTTTTTATTGATTGTATTATTAAATTAAAGTTTTTGAGTTGTCAATTTCTTGTTTTAATCTAGTAATGTTTTATTCATTAGAAACACCATGCATTTAATTTTCAATATTACCAAGAACATTCTACCTTTATTAATATTAAGGTTATGGTTATTAATAATATTATTGTTATTAATATTATGGATTATATTAAGGTTACTAAACAAACTATTATTATTATTATTATTATTATTGTTATTATTATTATTATTATTATTATTATTAAGCCATCAATTATTATTATTAAGATATCATTTATTATTATTGAGCCATTATTTATTATTACTGTGGCATTGCTTATGGTTATTATTATTATTAAGGAATCATTTATTATGGTTTCTATTATTAGGGTTATTGGACTAAAATTAATAATAATATAATAAAATACCCATTCTTGAAGCTGATTGTGATTTCTCTTAGTATTCAACTCTACCATCAGGATAAACTAATTTCTTAATAATTTTGGTAGGAACTCTTTCTCTAGAAACACCACCTTACATAGTTTGATTCATATCAGGTTAAGTCATCATAAAATCTTAGGATGGTCTTGATTGATGATAATTTTATCTTGTTTATTAAGTCTAAGTATATTGCTATGATTATTATTAATATTATGTTTATTGAGTATTATATTATTATTATTATTATTATTATTATTAAATTATCTATTATTATTGTTAAAAGTATTAGGTATTGACTTAAGTTTGTTGTAATTATGGTAGTTATGCCTATTATTATTAAAAGTTTAATTATTCAACTTATTAAGGTAAATATTATAAAGGTTATTGTTAATATTATAATTGAGATTATTAAGCCTATTGATATGTTAGTTACTACTACTATTACTAGGGTTATTAATATAATAACTATTATTATTACTATTATTATTATTGTTAACATAATTATTATTAATATAATTATTATTACTGAAGTAATTGTTAATATTACTATTGTTAAACAACCTATTAATCTTATTCATTTGTAGTTCTTTATTATTCAAGTAGATAATTAAATAGATTTACTGGATCTAATCTCTCATTTGGATTGAAATTAAGCATCAGAGCTATATTCTCAGCATATTGTAAATTGTAAATTTAAGCTACTTCGTTAATTCTATCCTAGATCAATCTAAATTATAAGCCATTCTAATAGAGATTGTCATTTTGTTTAAGAGTACTTGCTTCTAACATAACCATACCCAAACACCAAACATCACCTTTACTCAATTGCAACTCAGATAATGGTTGTGTTGGGTTTTGTAATATTTCAGGTGCAAGATATTTCAATTTTCCTGATAATAATTATTGAATAGAAGCTCCTCTTCCATTAATTAAATTTGAATCCAAAACTTTGAAACTTGAACTGTTTGAATCGAAAAAGATTTCTGTTGTACATATATCTAATTGATAAATCATTTATATTTACCTCCATGTGACAATCCCTTTTCTTATAAGAAACTCAATGCACTGCTTATACCTAAAAGCAATGCCTATAAGTCTTCTTCAGGAAAGTACTTTTTTGTTCCATATCGTTCCTAAAGTAGAGATGTTAAAGTGATTTGACAGTATTCAAAAAAATATCTATACTAATCACCTTCAGGTTGTCCTCCCAAAGTTTACAAGAGATGAGGATGTTGCAATCCAATTCTCCATTCATTCTACTATACTTTGTTGATTTAAGTTGGTTCAGGTGCCTTCTTTTAAACTGGTCTTAAGAAATCAATCTTATCATTTGGAGCTGATGGTTCGTTGCCCATTTATTTTTTAACGATTTTTTTAATTATATTTAGAATTCAAAGGATATTAACATAAATATCATATTTTTATTATATATTATTGACAAAGTAATAACATTTCACATTAATAAACATGCAAATTTTGTTGATAAAGAAAGAACTGCATTAATTATTATTAAAATTCAGAAATCTTAATATTTCATATATTTTTAATGTATTCTATAAACTAGATCAGTATTTTCCAATAAATTATTATTTAAATATAATGAAATCATTTTCTGATGAAGATTGACTACTTCTAGTTGATTAAAGTTAATTAACAAATTTAAAATATTGTTTTTAAATTTCATGTAATTAGATTGCATGTATCATAGAAGCTGTAATACCCTAAAGAGGAATATTAAATGAAAAATATCTAATTGCTTGTAAGTGATATAATGAGATTAGTTACAAAATATAAATATCTAAGTGATATTTAATGCTCATAAAAATTTACTTAAAGGATAGTTTTGTTGATATTCAGTTAGGCTGTAACGAAAACCCATTTTCAAGATTTATAAGGATATCCATTAATTCTACATTGTTTGGAATAGAATTTATATTCCAAAAATTCTATTTGACTTCATATATTAGTTAGAATTTAGAATGAATATTGAAAAATGAAAATAATAGTATTGAAAAAAAATTTCTGTATATCATAAAGAGAATGGAATTTATTTGAATATGTAATTATGAATCAACTTGGCTCTAGTAATTATTAAATTAACAAAATTAAATGTGAATGACCAGGATGAATTAATTAGAATCTATCTTTTATACCATCTTATTAAATAGTAAATAAATATATTAGAGTAATTGATACTGAGAAACTTGTATTAATTGAATCATTTTTTTGGAATTTGATTCAATCATAATGTAAATGGCAATAAGTATTGAGCTATTATCTTTATTTTGAAACTAGTATCTATATTATTATTAGTATCTAAAAGAAACAATAGATTTTTCAAATTAATAAAATAGAAGCTTCAGGCTATTTAATAAATTTGTTGATCTAAAGTATTTTATTCAAAGTTCAATATATAAAATAGTAAATAAAGTTGAAATTTGATTCCATTTAAAATTGGGAAACCATAATTTTACTTTTTAGATATGAATACTTTGAGAGATGAGATTAATTAAACTTGTAAATAGAAGAGAGGGTAATGATCATTAAGATAATTGGATAAGAATCAATAAAGTGTTTTAAACATGTAGGGTTAAATTGGTCATATCAGAATTGAATATTAATAAATGATAATTATTTTTAATTACCTAATCTCAATTGTGCTATGTGAATTTCAAAATGGGTATTATGTAGATAAGAATGAGACAATAAAAATATTTCATGGACTCAATCTAAATGATTATCCATTACCAAAAATAAGTGAAGATGATTTTATTGCACTTTCAAAAATTGGATTCAATCTTATTAGAGTTTCTGTTTTTTTTGATCAATTAATTCCTTATTAGCCAACATCATTAAAGAATATTACTTATAATTCTTCATACTTAAGTGATATAGATAATATTGTATAATTAGCAAAGAAGAATAATTTTTATGTTATTTTGGTTGCAGATCAAGTATTATTAAATAAATAATTTTGTGGATATGGATTTCCAGATTGGGCAATTCAAAGATCAAACTTTCCAGTTCCTTATGATAATTATGGAAAAATAAAATTTGATCTGTATCCCAATAAAGATTAATGTTCAACAAATTTTGAATCTTTTATTAAAACTGATGATGTTGGAAATAGTTTTGAAAATCTGTACAAGAATGTAAATAATTTAACTGAATATTTTGGATTATTTTGGTAAAAGTTAGCTGATAAATTGAAGAATGAAGAGAATGTAATAGGATATGATATTCTAAATAATCCATAATGTGGTAATTATTATAAGACATATTATTAATGTATATGGCCAGGATGGAATAATAGATAATTGATAATGCCATTCTATTAGAAAGTAAATTAATATATAAGGGAAGTGGAGAAAACTAAAATTGTATTTTATTAGACTTAAGACACAGATTTTATAGGATCAGGATTTGATGGTAATATAAATGGAAATGAATATAGATAGAGAGAAACTTACAGTTATAGAATTACTTATAAATCAGAATACTTTAAAGAACTTGCAACAAATTTGAATTATTATTCAATGTGGTTAGAATATCATGTTGGTAAACATGCTTAAGTTCCATCATTTTTATCTGAATTTAGTGGCACTGATGAATATTTATTAAATAGATTACTTAATTATGCAGATTATTTCCAATCTTCTTGGTAAGAAATTATTTTATTTAAGGACATATAAGGGAAGTATATAATAAGCATTGAAATTAGAGGCATTAAATAGACCATATGCTTAATCAATATGTGCTGAATAAGTTTTCCATCATTAATATGATTCAATTAATCAAGTATTCAAATTGCAATTCAAATTAAAAAATGAATGTTCTACATTATTGTTTATACCATTTGATTATGGATATTCATGTTAAAATTGCATATTGAGATTGTTCAACAAACGAGTCTTTGAAATCAAATTGACAAAAAATATATAATCATAATAGTAAATTAATTTAATAGTGTGGAAGAAAAAAGCTTGATTTTTATTAATATATATATATATATAAAATTTGATAAATGAAATTAATAATCTTTATATTATGATATTAGTTTTAATAAAATTAATATATATATATTATTATTATTATTATTATTATTAATATATAAATAAATCATAAATAATATAAAACATGCAAGGTGTTTCTATATTTGATGATGATAAATCAGCTTTGGATAAAATGCAAAATTCTTTTAAGAATCTACTTTTTGAAATCATCTACTATTTAATTTCTGGAGAGAACTTCCCGCTATTTCTTTACATATTTTTTGTTTTGATTGAAAGTTTCCAAGTGTTTTACTTTGCTTTTAGTGATGAAGTATACATATATTGGTGATTATGATAGTTTTTATCATTATGGAAAGTGAAATCATGGTCAGAATCATTTCAATCATTTTTTGGGTATTTTATGATTTCCCCATACCTGAAGAATGTGGAATTTCAAAGCTTTATTTTAGTACTCTATATCATTATGGGCTTTTTCTTATTACTAATAATTTTAATTATTTTCATTGCAATTAAAGCATAAACTACATCAGTAGGTAAATTGAGTGGACCATTAGTTGTTCTAAAAATATTTTTTGAAGTACTCAATTACATTTTCTTTATGCCAGCATTGCATCTTTTTTTAACTATTTTCTATTGTGATTCAGGAACTGGATATCATAGATATTATACTGATTAAGAATGTTATACTGGAAATTACTTACTCCATGCATTTTTATCAGCTATTGCATCATTTATTTTGATATGTATTAGTGGATTAGTTACAATGACATTTTATGAATCAAGATTCTAACCAAATAATCCCCTTTGTAAGATATCAGGTAGAGATGATATGAAGTTTTTAATATTTAAAATTGTTTTAGTATTATGTTTTACTTTATTAAATGTAAGTGAATTAAGAATCTTAGTTGTAATCATAATTACTTTATTTGCAGTCATATAATTTTTTTCATTTAATAAATCAAGTGTCTATTTAAATTACTATTATTCAAAAGTATTAAATTCATAACATGCCATAATTATGTGGACTATATGTATGATAATATTTGGTATTATTGTTGAAGATACTTATTATGAAGGTGCACCTTATTTATGGGTATTTGGAAGTCCTTTATTATTATTAATAGTTATGCTTAGGAAAGAGTATAGATATGATATAATGATGATTGATTCAAATAAATTTGATTCACTTAATTAAGCAATTCAATAATTATAATATTTAACTAAATTTTTGAATTATTATCATACAGATAGGAATATAGCAACATTATTAGATGGTTTTGTAGAATATCATAGAACAATATGTAAAAGAGAAGATTGTCCATGTTAAGCAAAAAATATGGGTAATAAGAAAATTGCTAAATTTCAGAAAAACTTTAAATTGTAAAATTAAGATGATGAAATTAAAGAGTAATATGTTGTTTTAGTATATATTATTGAAAGAATTTTTACTTTATCTTTAACTAGATTTCCTAATTGTACAGAATTAAGAATTTCTCATTCTTTATTTTTAATGGAAAAAATGTAATCAAATTAATAAGCATTATAAGAATTAGTAGCAGCAGAATAAGAGAAACCATATGTTGATGAATAATTTATTATATATAGATTAAAGAAATTAATAGAAGAGTAAATGTTTGAAAATTCAAAATCATCAAGAAATCCAGCTGCTGGTATTGATGCTGTTAATGAATTGACAACTGAAAATAATCTTAGAGAAATTAGAGCATAAATTGAAAAATCAGCATCATAACATATAGAATTTTGGTCATAATTAAGTGAAGATACACCAGATTTAGGAAAATTATATGATGTTGGAACTAGAATGATGTATATAGATAAAATGTTAGAAGACTCATGGAAACGAATAATTAAAATGAATTTAGATGTTCCTCCAAATTTAATGATGATTTATTCAAGATATTTAGTTGATATACTTTATGATAAAGAATCAGCTGAAGAAGTATTAGAAAGATTGAAGAATTTTTATTCTGTTAATATGGATAGAGGTAAAATAACAAACAATATTAATGATTTTCCTAATGAATCTACTGCATTAATTAGTATTTCAGCTGAAGATGTGACTTTTGGAAGAATTATTGGATTGAATATGTCAGCATCTAAAATGTTTGGTTATTCAAAAAGTGAATTAATTAATAGAAAAGTTAATATATTGATGCCAAATGTATTTGCTTAATCACATGATTAATTTATGGAAACATATTTATAGACATATGAAAGTAGAATAATGAATAGAGAAAGAATGATTATTGGAAAATCAAAGAATGGATATATATTTCCATTCTTTATTTATGTAAGATATGTTCCATCATTTATACATGGTGCATAATTCTTTGGAGCTATGAGACAAGAAAAAGTATTTAAAAATGTAGCATTTATGATTGTTAATGGATAGACTCAAGAGATTGAAAATATATCAGCTACCTTTATTACAATGTTTCATATAGATTTAAATTATATAACAAAAAAGAAAACTAAAGTTACAGATATTATACCTAATTTTTAAGAAAATATTACTGAATATTTAAATAAAACAGGAGCAGAAGCAGATATCAATTTTAAGAATAGAGATTAATCTGTTTAAGGAAAATTTAATATAACTGCTGGAGAAATTATGTTTAGAGATTCTAAATTATAAGGATATATAATTAAAATTGAAAATAATAAATAAGAAAAATCATTTCTTAATCCTAATGAATAATCTTAATAAAAGAAATAATAATCATTAACTAAATTCTATTTCTAATTTGATTAAGCATAACATATGTATGTAGGAGAATATTCAGGGGATTAGAATTTTTAAATGTCTGCTATTTCAAGTGTTAAATAAGATGAAACCTTTGATTTTTCACAAAGAGAACCATTAAAAGAAGAAGAAAAGACTCCTTCTTCTAATGTAGGAGAAAAAGATGATAAAGTTGATTATGCTGTTGGAATTAGAACAATGAAATATATTAATGGATAACTTTTTGATATTGATGAATTTAAGAATCAAGATTCAGATGAAGAAGAAGATAATGATTAAAAAAAAGGAGCAGGAACTGCAGGAATGTAATAAATATAAAAAGAAGATGATGAAGAAGAAGCAGAAGGAGGACATGCTAATATTTATAAATCTAGAAGAACTTTTGTTTAATTTTTATAAGAAAGTAGAAATGTCAATTAAAGTAGTATGATTTGTTTTAAATGGAGTGCTGCTGTTTTAATTATTTGTTTAGGTGTATTGGGATTACTTGATTATGTATTAACATAATAATTATTCTCTGATATTTAAGAAGGATATATAATGATGCAAGATTCTAATATAAGAGTTGCTTTAGGGTAAAGAATATAATGGTAAATTATGGAATTGTGTAGATTGAATAAAATTAATATATTAGCTACTGATGATAAAGTAAAGACATAATTGACAAATATGAATACAACTATAAGTGATTTGAAAGATATCTAATCAAAAATTCAATCTTCAACTGAAGTATCAGGTAGACAAGATGAATTAATGACTACTAATACTATTAAAATGATAAGTAAGGATAGTAGTGGATCTGAAAGCAATTAATTAGTTGATATCAATTAAGGAACTTCATAGATCATCTCAAAGGCATTTGAAGTTATGAATTTTGATATAAAAGACTTTACTCCTGAAACTGATTCCATCTTTTTTATTAGATATAATTTGCTTAATGATTATTATTAAGCAACATTAGAAAGTGCAGATCTTTATACAAATCAACTTATAAGTCTAGCTTATGATTCTAATGTATTACTTGTACTTCTAATTGTTGCTTGTGTATTTACAGTCATATCCATACCCTGGATTGCTTGTGCCTTTAGTTTAGTATCCTAAAATCAAGAAGAAGTTATTAAACTTTTCTTAGAGATTCCTTTGGCTAAAGTTAAGCAATTATTTGCTAAATGTGAAGCCTTTTCTAATACACTATAAATAGGTGAAGATGAAGATGCTAATTAAGAGAATGATGTATCATTTGAAGAAAATGAAGAAGGAGAAGGAGTTGTTGAAGAATTTGGAAGAAGAAAGAAAAGAAAGAAGTATAAATATGATTCCAAAGATAAACGTAACTTTTACATTAAATTCATTATCTCTATGGGATTGTTGATTGCTTACTTTATTGCTCACTATCTTATTGGTGCTAATTTATAGAGTTCAATGTAATAATTAATTCAAGAAATGAATGCTACTTCACTTGCAGTTCCTTCAATTACTTTTGCAAATAATGTATTTAGATAAATGTTATGGGATCCAAACTTCCCTGTTAAAAATAATAATTCAAAGATTGTTTCTGCAGACTTTGTAAAAGATTTATACAATCTTAATACAAATATGCAAAAAGATCATTCATTAAATTTAGGTTATCACAATTCCCTTTATAATGATTACTTTGATTCAATCATGAAAGCAGGAGCATGTGCTTAAGTCATTCAAGTTGCTCCTGTAGATTTGACTACTTGTTAAGCATTTGTCAAAGGAATTGTAGATGAATCTTTAGCTTTAGCTTTATCTAGACATTTTGAAAATCTTAGATATTTACTCACTGTCTATGATTCTCTCCTTAATGATTCTTCAGCAACTACTATTTCAGGAACACTTTACAATTTCACAGATAATCTATAAACTAACAAAATATTATCATTAATGTATACAGATATTGCTGCTATTGAAATAAGTAATATTATTCTTTATTATATAGATTAAATGTAAGATATTTATATTAGATCAATATTTTAATAATTGCTAGTTACTTTTAATGAAAGTTTGTAAAAAGATATAGATACCAATACAACTACTACAGTTACCATTTTCATTGTTTTCTTAGTTGTTTTGGTCCTTGTTTATTTATTATTCTGGTGGCCAATTGCCAATAAAATTAATAATGAAGTAAACTTTTCTAGTTAATCTTTTAGATTAGAAGGACAACCTTGTTATTATCAATGATA